CCTGATAAAGACAAGAAAACCGCCTGAGGTCCAGTCCTCTGATGACGTCTCCCTGTGGATTCCATTCTCCTGCTCTCTCTTCTTCTTCAGTAAAGTTGCTGAGGTCCTTGCAGATTGGCATCTGTTGCGTTCCTAGGAACAGTCAGATCAGGGCATCAGAGGTGGGGCATGGCAGTTGTTGTTAATAATAAAGCCTCTGATCAAGACAGCTTAAACTGCAAACCCTCCCAAAGCAGTCGAGAAAGGCAGGAAAAACCAAACAACCACTTGCCATATTAAAGCAGCTTGTTTATATCCTGCCAAAGTGGCAAAAAAACTAATTTTTGTGTTTTGTCAGACGGTTACTGGAAGGCGTGGGGTGGGTCTGACCGCTCGATGCCCAAAAGCCAATAAACAGGCCAGGTTGGTGGAAAGGAAAGTTTGCTTTATTTCAGATGCCAGCAACTTGGGGGTAAGGGCAGACATCTGTCCAAAAGCCAACCCCCCCCCCCCACAGAATTTTTATAGTCTGGGGTTGGGGGAGGGGGGGCGGGCTTCATGCAGAACAGCACAGTCTGATAGTCATCGTCAGATTGGTCACTGGTGGCCTGACCAGTGTCATCCTGATTGTTTTAGGTACAGTTAATCTTCATTTCCAGGGTCCTTTGTTCCCAGTTCTTGGATTTGTGGCAGCTATGTCCTCTGTACAGTCTTTTCATCATGTAGTTAACTTCTCCCATCTGGTGTTTTAGTATCTATAAGACAGCTCACAGGATACAGCTGAGGATATTATCTGTAGCCCTTGACAAGAAACTAAAGGTCCTTGACTGTGCTTAACGACTGCGTCATTATTATTTGGTCTCCTTTGACTGTTTCCCTTTGTTTCTGCATTTCTCATTTCTCTGATGAAACTTATTCTTTGACTAAAGTTTTCCACAGACAAAGGGGAGTCAGAGGACCTGCTGGGGGAGGGACCATAAGGTCCTGCTCTATTTCAGGAGTTTGAGTCAATGGTAGACTGGAACCAACAGATTATTTAAGGAAAAGCAGACCCATTCCTGAAAAACCTACCTAAACAGGTTGGCAAATGTGCAGATTTTGGAATCTACACTTCCCTTACAACTCACAGGCAGGAACTGTACTGGCTTTCTCGATTTTGTGGATTTGATTTAAAAAAGAAGAAGAATAAAAGAGCCTCTGGGGAGAGGTGACTCACGAGGGCAAGAGCCAGGGCTCAAGGTCTGATTGCCCCTTCCTCTAGGAGGAAGAAGAGGAGGGTGAGGTTTCAGGTTCACTGCAACAAACATCAGCATCCCTTAGGAGCTGCCTGGGTTTGGCAGGGGAAGAGGGATAGCTGCACAGTTTCCATTCTCTGTCACTCAAGGGCCCCAGAAGAATTCCGCTTGAGACGTGTGGCCTCCAGGGCTTCGTCCCAACGTCCTGCAATTCTGAGCGCTCCCCAACCCCCATCATTTATTCCAGATGTTGTGGATGCATCATCTGTAGAGAAGTCTCGAAGAAGGAAACCAAGGAGGAATTTTCCACTTCCTGAACTTGGCACACACACACCCCTGGATACTGGATAAATGAACCACACACGCAAGCGTGGAAGGAAAGTTTATAACTGTGAAGTGGGATGGAGCGCTGGGAAAAGGTCAGCTGCCTGGGGCCAGCAGGAAGCCTCTGAGTCACTGTGGGGGCAGGGGGATGCAGGGGGTGCCAGGAGGCACTGAGGGACCGGCCCTGCCACCCACTCCCTGTTGGTCAGACAGCTCCTCATCCGACCTGGGAGCGTGCCAAGCACTCTCACGTGTGTATCTGCATCTCAGTCTTTGGGGGAAAGACCAGCTCTCTCTGGACCCTTTGTTTTACATGACTCAGCCTTGAGGCTGCCCTTTCTCGGGGACAGATGCATGGTGTTCGAGGGGAGAGACCAAAGGAAGTGGGTTTTGTGGGCGACTCAGTCATTATAGGAATGAAACAGAAGTTAGAGGGGCGTAGCACCTGCATGTCACCTTCACTCTGACCTCTTCACCTCTCACTGTAAGGGAGCAGGACCCCCTGGGGCCTTCCCGTGTCCTCTGCTTGACTTCCCGCTGAAGCACCTGGATGACAGTATTTGGTGCATGTTTCCTGAGGTTTTCTGGTAGATAAAATAAAACCCTCCCTCTTCAACAAATGGAAAATGTCAACTACTTGACAACCGTGAGCACGCAGCCCCAGGCCTCTTGGAGCCTAAGGACTGATAGCATTTTGTTTTTAAATATTTATTTTTCTGCTCCGGGTTTTAAGTTGCAGTGGCACAAGGAATCCAGTTCCCTGACCACGGATTGAACCCTGGGCCCCCAGGCCTGGGACTGATGATGTTTGTCCCTGTGACATTACCTGCTACCTCAGCATCAGCCAACCAGAGTCATGCTCGAGCTTATCACACATCTGTGACCCTCCTTTCTCCTCAGGCTTTTAAAAGGGTTTTGTTGAAACCCCCAGGGAGTTTGGGGCTTCTTAGGGCATGAGGCACCCATTCTCCTTGCATGGCCCTGAAATAAACCTTTCTCCGGCCCATCTTCCAAAGTTTCCGTTTGTTTGACCCCACTGTGCACCAGGGACCTGAACTTGTCTTAACATCACCCCTACCTCCAGGCCAGCTTCTGTCCCCTAAGGTTTGCCCAGGTGACATGGGGCCCACCCCCAAGGACGGGGACGCAGCTCCTTTCACCTCACCAAGCCCAGCTGCTGAAATGAGCAAACGAACCAGTGGTGGCCTTCAGCTCTCCTACACCCTCCCTTTTTGTCCACTTCTTTGACACTTACACCTTCTGTTCTATGCACATTGAGCGTGAGCCCGTGTCAGCTAAGTTGCTTCTCTGGTGGCTCAGTGTTAAAGAATCCATCCGCAACGCAGGGTTCATTCAATCCCTGAGTCAGGGAGAACCCCTGGAGTAGCAAATGGAAACCCACTCCAGTATCTCACCAGGGAAATCCCATGGACAGAGGTGCTCAGAGGCTACAGTCCAAGGAGTCGAAAAGAGTCGACATGACTGAGCGACTACATACAGCCGCACTCACGCCTTGTCAGCTGACAAATGAATGTTCTCAGCCCTTACTGGCCAGCCTACATTTCAGTGACAAAGCCAGTCTAACTCAATTATTTGTCTTTTCACCTTATTGCTTTCCTACAATTTCATTTAAAAATGAGTAGAAATTAAAAATGAAGGTGCTGCAACTGCTAGTAATAAGATCAAGAATGATTTGAGAATTCTTGGGTATTCACAATGGCAAATATGTCACTTGAGGTTTACACTTTATGATCTTTAGCAGCTTAGAGATGTGCTCAGTTGCTGAGATAAAATAGTAAAGGATGCCCCCAAACCAGTGAAAATGCACGTGTTAAGGACCGCCCACAGACCGACCCCCTCCAGCCTCTATGATGCTTCTTTAGGGCCACACTCTAGTCTGCTTGGCTGCCGTAACAAAATACTATAGACTGGGAGGCTTATGAGCAACAGAAATTCATTTCTCAGTGTTCCAGAGGCTGGGAGTCTGAGACCCAGGGGCCAGCATGGCCGGGTGGGGGTCCCCTTTCCGATGGCAGATTTCTCACGTGGCAGAAGGGGCAAGGGAGCTGTTTGGGGTCTCTTTTATAAGAGTGCTGATTCTACCCACCAAGGCTCCTTTCTCAGGACCCAGTCACCTCTCAAAGGCCCCACCTCCTAAAAGTATGATGCCAGGAGTTGTTGCTGCTTATCAATCGCTCAGTCGTGTCTGAGTCTTTGCAAGCCTATGGACTGCAACATGCCAGGCTTCCCTGTCCTTCACTGTCTCCTGGAGTTTGCTTAAACTCATGTCCATTGAGTCGGTGGTGCCATCCAACTTTCTCATCCTCTGTCGTCCCCTTCTCCTCCTGCCGTCAGTCTTTCCCAGCATCAGGGTCTTTTTCAATGAGTCAGCTCTTCACATTAGGTGGCCAAAGTGTCGGAGCTTCAGCTTCAGCATCAGTCCTTCCAATGAATATTCAGGGTTGGTTTCCTTGAGGACTGACTGTTTTGATCTCTTTGCAGTCCAAGGGACTCTCAAGCATCTTCTCCAGCACCGCAGTTCAGGTGTTAGCATTCAAATGTGTGACTCTGGGGGACAGGAGCTCTCTGACCATTGCAGCCACCTTTGCAGGCTGCTGTTGTCAACCACAGAATAAGAGCTGGACTGTTTCTCGGCTCCTCCATGTCAGGTTTGACTGATAAGACTTTATAGCCGATTTTAATGTCAATGATCCCTTCTGAGTTGTTCAATCATGAATTGACCTGTGAAGAAGGCACGCTGGCTGGATGACTCTGTCCGCTCAGAATAGAACTCCGTCATCTTGGTGGGGTGACTGTGTCTACCACGGGTGGCTCAGAATTCTGGCTGCCAGAGGCCAGCTGGGAAAAACAAGGGTGTTATGACTTGTTTTTTGGTTGGACAGGCAAAGCAGAAGGCCCACCAGCAGGGGGGGCTCGTGGGCAACCAGAGTTGATCCCCACAGGTCTAGGTGACTTCCAAGTTGCTTCCCGTGTCAAGGGGCCCAGACTGCAGTGTCACAAAACTGTTTATTTGCACGAGAGGAGTAAGAGGGGCTGAGAAACACAGTCAATGCTCCCTGAGGACAGGGCCCTGGCACGCTGGTCAGGCGTGACCTCTGCCAGCCCTTCCCAAGCCCACAGGGTCCTCCCGTGGATCTGACCCCCCACGCTCTTGTCTCCAGCCCCATGGGGGTCACAGCATGTGCCAAACCTCCTGACAGCTGAACCATGACTCCCAAACCCTCCATGGCTCCTCCCCAGGGGCTCAAAGGCTAATACTCCACGTTCACAAGTCTTCATGAGTGCTCCGAGCCAGTCAACTAATGAGGGCCTCTTGAGAGGTGCTGTCTTCCCCTAAAGTAGCTCTGAGCAAAGGCAGCAGATAAACCCAGGTCTTTCCATAAGGTCACAACAAGAACCAGTAAGCTTCAAGCAAACAGCCCAGATGCAATGCTTCCTTGTCTAACTGTGCACAACGCTTGGGAAGATATTCTCTCCATCAGGGGAGATGAATCCCGTGCGGGCCTCCCACTTGCCAGCCGTGAGGTCAAAGGGCGTGTGCTTCAGCAGCTGGACAGGAGGAGAAGGTGGCCACCCCTTGGGAGGCATGCGATACCTCACTTTTTTCCAGAACGCGCTCTTTGCACACTGGGACTGTTCCGTGAAGTCCCCACTCCACTGGACAGCCCCGTGCTTCTGTCTGATATACTGGATGGACTCCGGCAAGGCCGTGTAGTCGTTGACTTTGCCCAGCTCGATCAGGATGACCTTCATCCCGTCCTGGATGAGGGCACTGTAGACTGCCATCTGTTCTTCTGGCAGATTCCTTAATCGGCCAAAGCTCAGCTCGTCGGGGTCGATAACGATGATCAGTCTTCTGCACAGCCTGATGTTTTCGTCGATGACACTGACCACAGCTGGAAGTTAAGAAAGAAGACGTACAACAGCTCACAGTAAAAACAGCCCCACAGGGACTCCCCTGGTGGCCCCGTGATTAAGAATCCGCTTTGCAATGCAGGGGACACGGGTTCAATCCCCGGTCGGGGAACTAAGATCCCAAATGCCTGGAGCAACTAGGCCCATGAGCCACAACTAGGGAGTCCATGCGCTTTAACAGAAGATCCCACGTGACCAAATGCAGCAAAATAAACTTTTTAAAATAATAAATGAAAACTAAAACAGCCACTGGTTATGAACTACTCAGAACAAGAATCTTATTATGTCTAACCTTTTTTTTTTTTTTTAAAGGTTTCTGTCTTTTTTATTTCCCCAAAACAGCATTCCTATGGGAAGTACAGGGCTTCTAGAATTTTCTCCACCTGAATAAATAAATTTTTAGTAAAGAGCTTTCTTTATTGACTAAGATCCATAATATCTAGAGTCCACTGTCTGAATTAACTATTCTGGTGAAAAAGTCTTATTGTCTGTTTCATAGTAAACAATTGGGATCTTTAAAATTTTCTGGATTAATGCAAAACTAGTTAAGCTCATAGTATATAATTTACTTGCATATGTATAAATATTCAGTATTGTTTATAATTCCCATTTTTATCATGTGTAACTTTGTATATCAAAACTTAGCTCAAGGTATGGTATATATTAGAGGATAAATGCTTTTCATTTCTTAAATAACAGACTTTTAAAGGATAGGATGCATGTACTCAGTTCAAATGTACTAATCTTATTGTGTTTTCCTCTTGTGCTTCATGGGTATTTAAATGACCAGGACTTACAGGACTAACTTGAAACCAAATAATATATTCTTCTGACTTGGGGAAGGGAGATAAACTTGGTGTCTTTTAGAAATAAAGACCAAGTCTTATATCATCCTTATCCTTAGGATATAAGAACAGACTATAACCTCCCCAAGAGCATGTCCTTCTTCTCTTTGGTTTATTTTAATATTTCTAGTGCCTACAACATTGCCTGGCACATGGCAGGGGCTCAATAAATATTTGTTGAAGAAGTGAATGAATGAACCGTTATTGAAACAAGAGCTCTTCTGCATGTTTGTAACAAGCCCTGGATCATACTTTCATTTCTCCATGAAGAAGGATTTCATAACTTGAAAAGATGTGATAAGCTATGGATAGGAGCAGCCTACAAAACCAAGGTACTTAGAAACCTTTTATTTATTTACTTAAGTTTTATTTGATTATTTTTGGCTGTGCTGGGTCTTTGCTGCTGTATGGTTTTTCTCTATCTGCAGCAAGTGGGGGCTACTGTCTGGTTGTGGGGCACGAGCTCTCATTTCGGGGGCTTCTCTTATTGCGGAGCATGGGTGCCAGGACACAGGCTCAGTGGTTGTGGCACATGGGCATAGTTGCTCGGTGGCACACGGGATCTTCCCAGACCAGGGATCCAACTGTGTCTCTTACATTGGCAGGTGGATTCTTTTGCCACTCAGCCAACAAGGCAGCCCTATTAATTTTTTATCAAGTTACTTATTTATTTGGCTCTGCCAGGTCTTAGTTGTGGCACATCGGATATTTGATATTTGTTCTCAAATGCAGGACTTTTAGTTGAGACAAACTATTTGATCCTAGAGGAAATCAACCCTGAATATTCACTGAAAAGACTGTTGCTGAAGCTGAAGCTCCAATACTCTGGCCGCCTGATGCAAAGAGCCATCTCACTAGAAAAGACCCTGATGCTGGGAAAGATTGAAGGCAAAAGGAGAAGGGGACAGCAGAGGATGAGATGATTAGACAGCATCACCGACTCGATGGACATGAATTTGAGCAAAGTCCAAAAGATGGTGGGGACAGAGGAGCCTGGCATGATGCAGTCCATGGGGTCACAGAGTTGAACACAACTGAATTGTGTATTGACTGAATGACAGCAACAAGGAGAAGATTAGAGGTGATTGAAGCTCATAAAAACCAGCTTTAAACATGAGTTAATTTACATACTCAAACCAACAGAAAACACTCAGTGATTGGTCTCAAGGATTCCACAGCCAATGACCAGCTGTCTGTTTTGGGTCTTTTGGTCAAGGCTAGGTTTCTGTTTGATCGGCTGGTCATACAAATGGGTCAACCATATCCGTACCCAACCAGGAATCACAGTTATCCTGTTATAGGAATGAACCTAAAGAGAGAAAAGAGATTAGTCCTAACCTCCTCAGCTTGGGAGCTGTGGGCAGAGGAGGTGAGGGGCTACTTGTGGTTCCATGCAGAAGGCAAGCATACTTCCCACCATTTGTGAAGTGAAGGGAAGAAAGAGATCCCTTTCCATTTTCTTTCTTCTTTTTTTTTTTTTGATTGAGTCTCAGCATGAGGGATCTTAGTTCCTGGACCAGGGATTGAACCCATGCCCCCTTGCAGTGGAAGTGAGGGATTCTAACCACTGGACCACCAGGGAATTTTGGTTCATTTTCATGTTCTTCATTTCTTATTTTTATACCTCACTGAAAACATACCTTGTCCAGGAAACTCATCCCTGCCAAATATAAATAACTTGTATCCACACTGCTTCTCCAGCACCTCAGGAAGAATTTTCAACACCAGTGTGTCCACATCATGACTCTGGCTTTCTCTCTGAGGCTTGGGATATAAAACATAAGCATCATACAGCTTCCCATCTGAAAAGGAAATGGGGCAAGCTCGTGAAATTATTCCTACCAAATTGTGTGTGTGTGAGTCACTCAGTTCTGTCCAACTCTTTGTGATCCCATGGACTATAGCCCACAAGCCTCCTCTGTCCATGGAATTCTCCAGGCAAGAATACTGGAGTGGGTTGCCATTTCCTCCTCCAGGGGATCTTCCTGACTCAGGGATAGAACCCCTGTCTCCTGCATCAGCAGGCAGGTTCTTTACCACTGAGCCAGCTGGGACGCCTCCCTAATGCAAGCAGCTCCTCGAAGACATAAAATATTGATAGATAACTAATGAGAACCTATTGTATGACACAGAGAACTCAACTCATTGCTCTGTGGTGACCTCAACGGGAAGGAAATTCAAAAATCTCCTTGCAGGAGGCCCTTTTGTCCTGTCACTCAGCAAAGCTATATTTCAATTTAACCTTTACATCAGGTGCCTCCAGCCTTAACTCATCTCTGTCTGAAGCACACCTTTCAAATCTTTTGATCACGTAATACCTTGCCTAACCTGTTAACTCCTTTCTTAGATTAAAGAAGCTAAAATGAAGAATAAGTAATTCAAGATGACCAGATCTCTTCCCCAGCTTCCCCTTCAGTCAGCTCACAAACTGACTGTGTGAACAAGAGAGCTTCTAAAGAAAGACTCCAAGGAATCAAGGAGCTTGCCTGCAGTGGGAGACGGCAACCAGCCTGGCTCCCATCTCATGATTAACTAGAATTACTTCTCCGTTTCCCTTTAAAAACGTTCATGGCCAAGCAGAATCTTAGGAGGTAGTTCTGGGACCCTGATCCACCCTCTCCCAGGTTGCCGGCCTCCTGAATAAAGTAGCCTTTTGTTTTCCAACCAATCCCGGTCTCTCGAGTAGTGGCTTTTGAGAGGTGAGCAGTTGGACCTGAGTTTGGTAAGATGCATGTTAGTAGGGCTTCTCTGGTGGCTGAGACAGTAAAGAATCTGCCTGCAATGCGGGAGACCCAGGTTCAATCCCTGGATTGGGAAGATCCCCTGGAGAAGGGAATGGCTACCCACTCCAGTATTCTTGCTTGGAGAATTCCATGGATAGAAGAGGCTGGCAGGCTATAGTTCATGGGGTCAGAAAGAGTCGGACATGACTGAGCGATTAACACAACACAATAACACGCTACCAATCACAGATCCAGGGTGACACCTTTGCTCCTGACCACCGAGCTACAAACTGGAGGTTCCCCTGACCCCCGCCTTGGGTTCAGTTATTTGCTAGAATAACTCACAGACTCAGAGAAACATGTTATCATTAATAACTAGATCACTGACTTATTATAAAAGGATTTTTAAAGGATATGAATCAAAAGGCAGATGAGAAGATGCACAGGGCAAAGGATGGGGAAAGGATACAGAGGCTCAATGCCTTCTCCAGGGCCCTGTTCTCCCCAGGCACTACCTGATCACCAGCCCAGAAGTTCTCCAAACCCCGTCCTGTACGGTTTGTACAGAGGCTTCGTTACATAGACTTGTTTGATGAAATTAGGAAAAGGAAGCTTCACAAAGTTCATCCCTGAGTCAATATGGGCAACTGGGTCAGATTGTATTTTCCAAAAATAGCCCCAGAAATATTTCCAGTCCCACAGGCTCTTTTCAAACTTTGCCACACCCATAAAGAGGAGGATTCTATTTCCCCTCCCTTAACATTGGGTAAGACTCTGCAGCCGCCTTGATGCATGAACGTGGTAGAACCGACACTAGAAATCCAAGGTCTGAGTCATTTTAAAAACTATGGGGTGAGAGGGGAGGACTTCCCTGGTGGTCCAGTGGTTAAGAATCTGCCTGCCAATGCAGGAGACACGGGTTCAATCCCCGGTCCAGGAATATTCCACATGCTGCAGGGCATCTACACCTGCGTGCCTGTGCCCCACAACTACTGAGCCCGGGCTCCACAACAAGATAAGCCGCTGCAGTGAGAAGCCTGTGCACTTCAGTGCTCACTCCAGTGTCTTGCTGGGAAAATCCCATGGACGGAGGAGCCTGGTGGGCTAGAGTCTACGGGGTTGCAAAGAATTGGACACAACTGAAGTGACGGAGCAGGCATGCGTAAAATATTGATCAGTAACTAACAAGAACCTACTGTATAGTATGGAGACCTCTACCCAATGCTCTGTGGTGACCTAATGGGAATGAAATCTAAAAAAGCGGGGATGTGTGTATACATAGAGCTGATTCACTTTGCTGTGCAGTAGAAATTAACACAACATTGTGAAGCAACTATACGCCAAAAAAAAATTTTTTTTAATAGACAATACATAGAATTTATGGACTTTAGCCAAGACCGTCCAGGACTCTTAATAACTGTGAATTAGACACACCTCACTATGAATCACTTCTGCAGCTTGACTAATCTGGTTGGAGTAAACTCATCAGGAGAAGGACACACTTTCTCTTCTTCACTGGTATTTGCTGCCGCTGACTGCAATGTTCCCAAATAACCAGAGAACGTCCTCAAAGGGCCCAAAGCTGGGTTCACCTCAAGAGTCTCATCACTCACTGACTGTTGAAGTCACACTCAGAGGGGGATCAGACTGGGCTGGAGGAAATGTAGTCACAAAGGACGCATGCACGTTGCTGACTTGAAGAAGAAGAGAAGCCCTGGCTGACTGTCAGTTCCCGTCTCAAGTCCTCAGCCCACTGGTTCCGATCGTGGTCAGCAGCCTGGTCTAAGCAGAGGGCAGGGCTCCCTGAGTCGCCTGTCTGTCCAGCTTCCACCACGCGGGATGAGACACCACGCAATGCCTTTTCCTCTTCCTGCTACATCTGACTTCACCCTCGGCAGCCTCAGCACACACTCTGCACTCACAGTCCCTGGAATCCCAGTGAGTCAGAGAGACGGAGCTCCGGGGACACCCCAACAGGCCCCTGTCCGTCAACACATGAAGCATCTCTATGTCAGAAAAGACAAACGGCTTTGCTGCCCTGAAGCCTCTTCTCAAACGGCTGCATGAGGATCACGGGCAGAGATGGGCTGACACGGAACAGGGTCTACAGGGACCACAGCCCGGCTCAGCCCAGCCCACTGCCCACAGCACTAAACGAGTTTCAGGGCAGACACAGAGAACAGGCTTGTGGATAGAGCCAGGGCAGGAGAGTATGGGATGAACATGGAAACATATACGTCACCATGTGTAAAGCAGATGGCCAGTGGGAAACTGCCGTGTGACACAGGAGGCTCAATCCGTGCTCTGTGACAACCTCGAGGGGTGGGATGGAGTAAGAGGTGGGAGGGAGGTCCGAGAGGGAGGGGATATATGTCTCCCTATGGCTGATTCATGCTAACGTATGGCAGAAAACAACACAATACTATAAAGCAATTAACCTCCAATGAAAAATAAATATTTTTAAAAATCTTAAGAAAAAAGAGCTTCAGGTTGCACTGGTCACACACAGCCAATTTCCACAAGTGAATTTTGCTATCAAAAAAGAATTTGTTGTTTCCCAGGTTGCTCAATGGCTGCTGATTTTGAATTCTGAGATTTCATTTAAACTCCAAGTTAGGACACCTGTGCTTTATCAAACCTCTGCACAAGCATGTGTTTTTTTCTATGCAAAGTAGGCACTTGGTGTGAATATCGCCCTTCTGTGCAACAAGGATTCTTAACAGGTGCCTGGACCCCCCACTCCCCTGAGTTCCCATCAGCATGCAAGTCTGTGGGCCTGACAGTGTGCCTCCATGGATCTCCATGCAGAAAGTTGCAGACAGACCTCTCTCAGCTGTGTATACCTTTTTCTATCCAATTAAGAGAGATTAAAGCAGATTTAATGATGATGAAGCTGGAGCTCCAATACTTTGGCCACCTGATGGCCCTGATGCTGGGAAAGATTGAAGGCGAGAGGAGAAGCAGGCGGTAGAGGATAAGACGGTTGGATGGCATCACTGACTCAATGGACATGAGTTTGAGCAAGCTCTGGGAGATAGTGAAGGACAGGAAGCCTGGCGTGCTGCAGTCCATGGGGTTGCAAAGAATCAGACTTGACTTGGCGACTGAACAACAGCAAGTACACTCACCTTCTATGGGCCCTGCAGAATGGAAGGAACTTCGATACCAAAGTACAATGTCGATCTTAAAAATGTTGTAGATACACATGGCAGACACCACTGCACCAGTCAAGATGAGAAGCCCTCCTATCAAGTAAACTTGAAAATCTGGAACTACAAATGACAGCAAAAATAAATAAATAATAATGCTACAAAGAGTCAATTATGCACTTTACTTATATGGATCCCATTACATATGCCAAATAGAAATGTATTAAATGTTAATGAGAATAACACAAAGATTTCTTTACAGTTAAATAATAGGATTTTGTTGTTGCTGTTTAATCACTCAGTCATGTCTGACTCTCTGCAACCCATGGGCTTGACTGTAGCCCACCAGGCTCCTCTGTCCATGGCATTTCCCAGGCAAGAACACTGGAGTGAGTTGCCATTTCCTCCTCCAGGGGATCTTCCCAAGCGAGGGATCAAGCCCACTTCTCCTGCATTGGCAGAAGGATTCTTTACCACTGAGCCTCCTGGGAAGCCCCAAAATCTCTTCACAGTTAAATAATAGGTGTGGGGAGTAGATTAACTTGGTCTTAGCCATGAATCTGAGGAAGAATTGTGCTCTTGGGAACTTGGAGAGGGAAACTCTGTAGATACCTAGCTCCAGATGATAGATGTGATATGGCTCTGACTGCAGAAGACTGCTCACCTGTCAAAGCACACCTGGCTTTTGGACTCTGTGGGAGAAGGCGAGGGGGGCATGTTTTGAGAGAACAGCATCGAAACATGTATATTATCTAGGGTGAAACAGATCACCAGCCCAGGTTAGATGCATGAGACAAGTGCTCGGGCCTGGTGCACTGGGAAGACCCAGAGAGATTGGGTAGAGAGGGAGGTGGGAGGGGGGGATTGGGATGAGGAATACATGTAAATCCATGGCTGATTCATGTCAATGAATGACAAAACCACTACAATATTGTAAAGTAATTAGCCTCCAACTAATAAAAATAAATGAAAAAAAAAGCACATCTGGCCAGGTAACTCCTTACTCATCAGTAGCCTCTCCAGAGGCAGAGCCTGAGCACATTTATTGACAATGTTCTCTGGGTGATTCTGTTGCACAATTTTTTTAAAAAAGAAAATGTTTTTTTTTTAATGTGAACTATCTTTAAAGTTGTTATTGAATTTGTTACAGTATTGCTTCTGCTTTATGTATTGGTTCTTTGGCTGCAAGTCAAGTGGGATTTTAGCTCTGTTACTGGGGTAGAACCCCCACCTCCTGTGTTGGAAGGTGAAGTCTTAACCACTGGACCACTCCGGACATTCCCTGTTGCACATTCTTGATTATTATTATTTTATTATTTTTTTCTTTCAGCTGCTATTGACAACCTTTACTTATTGTTTTTTAATTTAACTTTTTATTTTATATTGGAGCATAGTTGATGATTGGGCTTCCCAGGTGAAGAACAGGGAAACCAGGCATGCTGCAGTTCATGGGGTCAGAAAGGGTCAGACCCCACTTAGCGGCTGAACCATAACAGGTGGCACTAGTGGGAAAGGATCTGCCTACCAATGCAGGAGACACAGAGACACAGGTTCGATCCTGGGTGGGAAAAATGCCCTGGAACAGGAAATGGCAGCCCACTCTAGTAACCTTGCCTGGAAAACTCCACGGACAGAAAAGCCTGGTCATCTGCAGTCCGTGAGGCAGCAGAGAGTCAGACAGCACTGAGCACGTCTATCTACAGCTGATTAACAACGCTGTATTAGCTTCAGGCACACAGCAAAAGGATTCAGTTACACATACACATGTATCTATTCTTCTTCAAATTTTTTTCCCATTTAGGTTGCTACGTAATACTGAGCACATTCTTGATTCTGTTATATTACTGTTATAATCACCTTCCCAGTGACTCAGAATTGAGCAGCAGGACCCCCATCATGGGGCTTCCCAGGTGGCACTAGTGGTAAAGAACTCGCCTGCAATGCAGGAGACATAAGAGATGATGGTTCGATCCCTGGGTCAGGAAGATCCCCTGTAGAAGGAAATGGCAATCCACTCCAGTATTCTTGCCTGGAGAATCCCACAGACAGAGGAGCTTGGTCGGCTACGGTCCACAGAGTAGCACAGAGTCGGACATGACTGAAGTGACTTAGCATGCATGCACACGCCCCCATCGCAGATAAAAAGAACCACCAGTTGCCGCCTCTGGAAACCATCCCCATGGCTGCACAAGACTGGCCGAGGGCCAAACTCCAGCCTCATTCCCTGTTGGCCAGCAGCAGCTGGGGCGGCACCTGTCTGCAAGACACCAGCTCAGGAAGGGCGTTTACACTTGTGAGCACCTTGCTGAGCAATTAAGGCAAAAAGCAATGGGCAGATGTCCAAGGAGCAGAACCAGTTTCTCTGGAACTCCAAGTCCCTGAAAACATGCTTCTACATATCTGAGAAGAGGAACAGCCCACAGCTTTCTGCCTTACCATGGCCCAAAGTTGTGCTGCCAAAGAAGGAGGCTCCAGGAGGGAGAGAATCAGAAAAGAGGAACCAGGAGAGGGGAAGAGAAATTCTCTCCATTCTTAGAATCCACCGCACATCTACCACTTCCTTCATCCTCCCTGGTCCTCTGGTCCCCACTGGAAAGTGTGTAGGGAGTTGGGGAGGGGGTTTGGGGGAGGGGAGCTTACTAAAGAGCCAATCACAAGCTGCCCCAGGCCACACCATGTTGCAAACACTTTGCAAAGAAATCCTTATGCGCACTTATATGTCTTCGAATACACAGCACAATAAAGCATGATAAATAAAAACACCTTCTGTACCCCTAAAATCAATCCACTGATGGGCTGATGAAGTCCCAGCCCTGCCAAGTGGAGCTGCTCTGCACACTGGTGCCGTTGGTCCTGACCTCTTGTCTAAGCCTCTAGCTCCTAACTATTCGATGGATTCTCCCCCTCCTCCCTCCCACCACCCCCGGTTTCTTCGCCCTTTACCAGCTCTCAGACCAACTGTACCACCTGTCTCTTTGGGAACACTGTGTCTGGTGACCTTCACTGTACACGTCAGGGATATTGGCATTATAAATGATCATGATAAAGAGATCTTGCCCACAATATTTATGAGATTCAAAAAGCCCCCAGTAAAGTAGACAGGAGTGATGGCCTGAAACTCTTGGGTTGATCATTCGCTGCATTCAGGAGTGTCGATTCCCTCTGCTCTATAAATGAGCTAAAAGACAATGATATTCAAAACAGGAAACTAATTAATAAGTTCAAAGGGAGTATTGGCTTTGAAACTGAAATAAGTGGGAAACTCTCTGTTGAGACATCAGGTATCTGAGTGAAAACTCTATTCAAAGTGGGATTTATCATTTGGGTCCACATGGCTACCACCAGCCTCAAGCTGAGATGGTAAGCTGAGAACAAGCAATTAAAAGAAATTTATAGAAGGGCATACCCAATCCAAACAACTCTCTAGAGATCCTACTTCTGATAAACGAAATCAGATTCACACCTATAGATGTCTTCAAGAAAAATCAGGAAGTCTAATGGAGAAGCTGTGATCTTATCCCTGGTTTCAAGTAAACCAAGATGAGGCTTGAATTTAATTTCCTAAGAATTTAGGGGAAACAAAAAACAGAGTGCACCTGTCCAGAAATACATGGCATGTGAGATAAGAAATCAGCGTTAACAGGAACAGTGATGAATTCAGTAAGTGTAGGTTTCTTAACTAACCTAAAACAAAGCAGCCAAAGGACCCTTTCCTTCTCCTGTATGATCAAGCAGATGTTCACCACTAGCACCATTCGTTTTGAGCCTCAGAATCCTTCTGAACACAGTGCTTCCATGCAGTCAGGATCTATAAGTCAGTACTGACACAGAAATCTCACTGCTCATCCTCAGGCTAGTGGAGGCAGATTTCAGTCATAGCCATTTCAGGTCTTGTGCGAGCTCCAAGGTTTCCCACAGTCAGATTCCCCTCTTTCCTCTGGGCTGGACTCTGAGGTACTCTGCCAGCAATTCTACTCCTGATGATGAACCACAGAGAAATGCTTCTATAGGAGTACTGCTGGCAAATCAAAGCCTTCTCTCTTGGGTGAAGCGATCCAAAAACTAAAGAGTTGATACGAATAGAATTATTTTTTTTAAAAACTGTTTGGTAAACCACAGACCAGTCTCCTACAGGGTACTTTAAACACTTCCTCTGGTTTTTCTCCTGATGATTTCACCCTTCGCTATCTACTCTCTGATCCCATTGCCTCCATTAGATAGTGAGCACACTTTGCACAGTGCTAAGTGCACCATCTGCATACACACGTGGAGGCAAAGTCCAGGCTCCAGCAACTAATGATGTTAGCGACTCACCCTGCTGATGAGACAAGAGAAGAGAAGGGTCCTTCCTGCTCGAATACCTGAATTGAGCCACTATCGATAATATTACAAAGCTACATAATAATATACATTGGCATTTTATATCACATGACTTCTAATAAACAACCGAAAAGCTGAAAATCACAAGCACATGATTATAGAAGTTGAGCAAATCAGGTGTAATAAAGGGATACCTCTGCTTCCTGGAGTGTTGATGCATAAAATCTCAATGTATGTTCAGAAGGAGCTTTCTAAGGACACTGCAGCCTGACCCCGAGAGCATATTCAGACAGGGTATCAGTTTTTAATTAGATTTCATGTTGAGTTTCCTTACTCAAAACCACCCTGCTGTCTCACAGCAAGCATTTAGTGCTCTTTGCTGTGCGTTTCCTTGCCATCATCTGGAACTCTCTGAGCAATGCACACCCCAGTAGGACATTACCTGGGAGCTTTAGGATAAAGTAAGCAGCAGACACTCCAGCATGACACATGAAAGGGTGACCATAATCTTCCATTTTCACTTCTAAGAAGGTTATGTTCACTGTGTAAAAAATATGTTCTGGAAAAACAGTGTAGTTTCTATAAAAGAAAAGAGTCCATCATTAATACATACAGGAGCTGTCTTTACCCAGCAGATTTTTATGAACTTTTGTCTGGAGAATAAAATTCTTTCTTGGAGTACACTTGGAACCATTATTTTATCCTCAGAATACCCCGCTGGCTCAATGAAGCAATGGATTATGTAGCTCCAGATGTAATGTGCATTTTCTTTCAGACCGTGACATAAAAGTGTGCTCCTTCTCGTTAGAGACACCGTCCACAGCCCTAAGGGGTCCTCCCCTATTCCTCTCCACCCATTCTAACTTATTTACCCTGCAACATCCAACACACAATCATCTGTCCTCTGACCTCATTCGCCTTGTTTTCTACCACTCAACTTAAACCATCATCAGTTGGGTTTGTACCACTCCATTAGCTAATGGTCATGCACCATCTCCCCCAAGAATCCCCGTGTCACTGTCCACTTCACTGTTTAAGCCTGGAAGACCCATGGCTCATGATATAACTAAATAGGAATGAGATTGATTATAAGGCCTAGCTGAGAAGAACTGACTGTGATGCTTGAAGCCATACCTGATTATTTTGCCTCCTTTCTCTAAGATGGAAGCAGCATTGGTAGCATGAGCATCTTTTTTAAAAATTATTTTTACTACTGGTTGAGTGATTGGCAGCACTGAGGGACATGAGGGATCTTAGTTCCCTGACCAGGGATGGAACCCGTGCCCCCTTCAGTGGAAGCTTGGAGTCTTAACCACTGGACCACCAGCAAAGTCTCTGAGCATCTTCTCTGACCCAGATGCTTGGCTCTCTGAAACCACCAAAAGGAGCGAGGGAGAGGCTGTGAGAGTCACCTCACAAGCAGTACCAGCACCAATGTCATTTAGATGGAGAAATTCTTGCTAGGTTTTAGAGGAGCCAGGAAAGCAAGACACCCACTCAATTCCTTCCTGAATGCGCTTGGAGTCCCCGTAGTAGTCATCCACCAGAGTATTGTTGACCCTCCAGCAGCGTGGGTTTGTGTTGTCCCGCGTGTCTGTTATGTTGCAGTTGACAATGAGCATGGAGCCTGTGCGAACAAGGTCAGAAACACTCAGTGAGATCCCAACCGAGGTGACCTGCTTCAAAAAGGCACCTTGCTTCTGAACCTTGAATAGCTGTCAATTACCAAAAAGATCCTCCCTGAGGTCAACATCCATCTACTTTATTCTCTCCCTGGACAGAGGTGAGGACATGAGACCGTGCAGGATGTGCACTGCAGAGACAAGAATAAGCGGCCAAACATCACCAGGTTGGGGCCAGTGTTTGTCACAACATCAGGGGCACAGACACTACTTCTGCTCTTAGCAAAGTTAGCAAAGAACATTAAAATTTAAAAAGTATTTCACACATTTTGGTCTTCATATCTAAAACACTCCTACAGAGCAGAAAAGGAGTAGTGCTATTATCCCCATCTTACAAATGAGAACATTGAGGTCCAGATAGATCAAGTGACTTGATCACACATCAGAGGAAGGAGCGAGACACGAGCTCTGGTTTTCTAATTCCAAATCCAGTCAGATTAAGCACATTCCATTTCATTTCTAATTTTAAAAGATTTTTATTTTTATACAATGAATTCCTAGTTCAAGTTTTCTAAATGACTTTTCGGCATCTATGCAGTAAGTGTATCATTTTTTTTCTCCTTAAGCTTGTTTATGCAAAAGATGAATTATCTAATATTAAACAAGCTTGCATTGCTCCATGTAACCCCAGTTTTGCCCTTTACGTACGTAAAATAAGTTTGCTAGCAATTTGCTTTACATTTTTCATCTGTGTTTATGAATGATTTGGTCTGAAATTTTCCTTTGTAATAATGTCCTTGTTGGGTTTGGGTGTCAAGGTTTTCCTGAGCTTATGAAATGAGATAAAGATTATTTCCTCTTTTTCTTCTCTCTTAAACAATTTGTTGAAAATTGGTGTTAATTCTTTATTAAATGTTTTTTAGAATTCACCAGGAAAGCCAAATAAACCCAGATTTCTTTTGTGGGAAGATTTTAAATTAATTTATATGACTATCTTGCTCTTCCAAGGCTTACCTTTTCTCTCTTAATTATCTAAGCACAATGACTAGAATTTTCAAAGACAGGAGAGGGGAACAAAGTTAATTGAGAGTTAATAACAGGTATACTTACCTTGTGTAGGTGTTTATGAAATCCACAAGAGTATTCACATGGTGAGTGATTTGTAAACAAATATCCTAATTGTTATTATTATTATTGAACTTTCCTTGAAAATTCAAAAGAACTAAAGAACTCTCCTTAAAACATGTGGGTCTAGAGACTTTTAAGCAGATGAGCTTCCCTGGTAACTCAGATGGTAAAGAATGTGCCTGCAGTGCAAGAGACCTCAGTTTGACTCCTGGGTCAGGAAGATCCCCTGGAGAAGGGAATGGCAGTATTCTTGCCTGGAGAATCCCATGGACAGAGGAACCTGGTGGGCTATAGTCCCTGGGGTCATAGTCGGATATGACTGAGCGCACACACACATTTGATTTCCTATTTTGCTTTATAAGCTTTCTCATCTCTATCTTTAATGTTTGAGTTTCTCTGAATTTGAGAGACTCAGTTTGCTGGAGCTTCCTCTCCCTTTTTTATTCTGCCCCATTCCTGCCCCAACACTTCGGCCCTTAGCAACTTCAGAGGCTCTGATAAGTTTACTCACCAGGTTTTACTTCAATTGAATTGTTTTTTGGATAAATGATCTGAGGGATTCTTCCTCCATTTTCCACTTTTTCTGCTAAAAAATCATAACCACATGAGATTGTGTTAGAAACATACTCAACTACTTGAATGCAATCATACCATAAAACATGGTACTGAGCAGACCTTCAATAAACATTGGTCAAGAAAAAACAAAACTCATGGTGCGACAAAATATCACTCCATAAATGAATATTCTTCAACCAGGTTATAACTGAATTGCTAAGGGAAAAATCTGAAGGCTGGGATACCAAGAGAAGTTATGTCACTGTTTTACATATATAAACATTTATAAACATAAATGGATGAGATTGTGTGAGAAATTCTCACTGCCTGGTCATCCAATATACTTCCTAAGCAGTGGCAATAAGTGAAGCTCTGACCTGAGTCCTAGACAGAGAGAAATAGTAACCCTAACTGTCTATCGCCAATTCCATCCTTCCATTCTCCAAGTCTGCCCTTCTGTATTCTTCACGCCCTTCGTCTATTGCTGTCCTTCACCTTTTTCATCCCTCTCCCTCACGTTATAACTGTCCTCCTTGTGTTGACTCTCCAACCCTTTGACTTTCTCCATGTCTTCCCTTCTCCATTTGTCTACCAATATTTAGCAATTGGGCGTCCCAGGTGGCTCAGTGGTAAAGAATTCACCTGCTGAGGCAGGGGATATGGGTTTGATCCCAGGTCCAGGAAAATCCCACACGCCGTGGAGCAACTAAGGCAGTGCGCCACGACTGCGAGCCTGTGCTCTAGCGGCCGTAACTACCAAAGCCTGCACATCCTAGAGCCTGCGCTCCACAACAAGGGAAGCCACGGCAATGAGAAGCCTGCACACCACAACTAGAGAGTGGTCCCACTCCCCACGGCTGGAGAAAAGCCCACGCAGCAACGAAGCCCCAGCACAGCCAAAATTAAATAAGCGAAAAAATTACCCATCTCATTCGTGAATCATCTGATTCATCTCTGCCTCTTTTCCGCTCAGACTTTAGGACTCCATCAGAGCAGCGGTCACGGCTCTTCTCATCATCATGATCTCCCTGCCCAGCACAAGACCTGACCTTGATGACCTTACAGACCCCAGTAAAGGGTCCATACATGACTGTCTGAAAACCGTCTCCTCCCACTTGCAGACAAGTGCAGATGATCACACCCAGATGATGCTATGGCAGCTTCCTAATTGGTCTCTAGATCTCAAGACCCTCTTCAACTCCTCCTCAAACCACCTCAGAATTGATTTCATCCATCACGAGTGGAGCCTTGGGGCTCTGCCCTTGCATGCATTCAAGTACTCCTCAGTGGCAACTTGGTAAAGCCAATGTATAATCGGCCCCCTTGACCTTGCCCCTCTTTAACTCCACAAGCTCAACTCCCATCACTCCTTAGCTCACAATTCTATACGCCCTAACAAGATTACTCTTAAAGCCAACATGAACTATGATGGTACACATTTCTATGCATTGTCTGAGGCTCTTATCTCTGCCTTTCCTCCCTCTTCTTTACTTCTGTAAATCCTGCTCATCCTTCAAATTTCAGTTGAGAAGATACATCCTCTTAGAAGCCTTCCAATACCATTTATTTATTTGCCACCCTTGCATCTACTTTTGACTTTTTCCTGCTCCCCCAGACCCTGCCTGTAACTCTCTCTTTGCCACATAATGTTAAGACAATCCATTTATATCTCTAGCTCCACTATAACTGGGTTGATAGCTCCTCAGTAGAAGAAAGAATTTTTAAATTTTTCTTATTATCACATTTTAACAAGTTTTGGCACATAACAGATTACAAGTAAATGTTTATTGCAAAGATGTGACATATAGATGATTGGACTCAATGATTCCTTAAGGTATTCTTCATTTTGCCTTTGAAATTTCACCTTATAAAGAATTCCCAATGTAAGACTAAAGCATAAAAGTAGTCAGTCATTCAGTTCATCAACTATCTCTCTGAGTTTGCTCAAACTCATGTTCATTGAGTTGGTGATGCCATCTAACCATCTGATTCTCTGCTGCCCCCTTCTCCTCTTGCCTTCAATCTTTCCTAGCAACAGGGTCTTTTCTAATGAGTTGGTTCTTCGCATCAGGTGGCCAAAGTATTGGAGCTTCAGCATCAGGCCTTACAATGAATATTTAGGGTTAATTTCCTTAAGGATTGATTGGTTTGATCTTGTTGTCCAAGAGACTCTCAAGAGCCTTCTCCAGCACCACAGCTCGAAAGCATCAAATCTTTGGCACTCTGCCTTCTTTACAGTCCAGCTCTCACCTTTACTGAATATCTATACTTTTTCAGAAACCCCATGAGCTTCTCTATAGACACAATCTCATTTAATTTTCGTGCATAAACCAGGAGTTTTGAGTCTTCTATTTTTTCAGATGAGAAAATTAAACTGCTCATGCCCTTTTACCCCACTATTCCTAACCTCTGATCTGAATAAAGACATATTTGAGAGCCTGTTAATCCTCAAGAAAAGCAGGATGGGGAAACCCTTCTGCCCAAAACCACTCATCTCGAGCAAACCCAAGAGCAGTCAAGGTGAAGGGTAAGTGCATACTTACTGACAGTCACAGAGATGCTATTGATAACAGTGTGCTGTTTCTTTGCATGTGTGAGGCTGGCTTGACATTCATAGTTCCCTCTGTCCTCCAACGAGACATTCTTCACTAAAAGCTTTTTCCCCCGAGAAATAAACCGTTCTCCTTCTATCTCTATACAGTCCTAAGGAAAAAAAAAACACACTTTTTTTCAATTCAAAGAGTATCTTAGGGTATCAGTTACATTCCTAGTTAGCACCAGTCCATGAACCACAGAGAGACATGAAATCTATGTGATCTCTAGACCTTAGGTAATTTATAATCTAACTGAAGACATATATATTTATATAGTGAAGCAGCTCAGTTATGTCCAACTCTTTGTGACCCCACCGACTATAGCCCACCAGGCTCCTCCATCCATGGGATTTTCCAGGCGAGAGTACTGGAGTGGGTTGCCATTTCCTTCTCCAGGGGATCTTCCCAACCCAAGGATCGAACCTGGGTCTCCTGCCTTGCAGGCAGACAGACACTTTATTGTCTGAGCCGCCAGAGAAGCATATATTTGTATAAGATATATACATATTATCTCCTGAAGAAGGAAATGGCAACCCACTCCAGCATCCTTGCCTGAAAAATTCCATGGACAGAGGAGCCTGGTGGGTTACAGTCCATGAGGTCACAGTCAGCCATGACTGAGCACATCAGTATATATATAAATATATAATATATATCCCCAGAAAATTTGACAAAGAGTACTCTACAGGCTAGAGTGAGTGCTATAAATATGAGTTGAGAGAAGAGAAGCCTGTGTAGACAGGAAGGAAGACTTCATGGGGAAGGATTACACCTGCTCCATAAAGGAGTTTGGTAGGAGGATATGGTCAAGCAAGAATGTCCTCCACCCACAAGAGCCCAAGTCCCCCAAAGCACTGCCATTCAATGGCACCAGGTAAGGCTGCAAGCCCAGGTGAATAAAGAATGTCCCCTCATTCTATCCATTCTACCTCACACGCTGTCTTGATGATCCCCACCTCCTAACTCAATTTCTCAAATAGCCTAAAGATAAGTGTGGCACCGTACTAAAGTCCTTCTGATTGATTCACCAAGTGAGGACTTGACTGAAAAAAACGGGTGCCAACAAATGAATGGATAAAGGAGATCTGAGGTATATATCTGCAACTATCTATCTACATTTCAATATTATTCAATCATAAAAAAGAATGAAATAATGCCATCTGAAGCAACATGGATGGACTTAGAGATTATCATACTGAATGAAGTAAGTCAAACAGAGAAAGACAAATATCATATGATATGACTATATATGGAATCTAAAACATGATACAACTACTTATTTACAAAAACAGACTCAAGATATATGGTTGTCAAAGGAAGGGATGCAGGAATAAATTAGTAGTTTGGGAGTAGCAGATATAAACTACCATATATAAAACAAAAAACAAAGACCTACTATACAGCATTGGGAACTATAGCCAACATTTTTTAAGAAACAATAATGGAAAAGAAAAAATATAAAAGGAAGGGAAAAGGACATTCATTGCCACATTCCTGTGAGAGAAGAAAACAGAAACAAACTAAATGAATGTGAAATATATAACAAAGAAGATCAACAAAGGCGAAGATTGGTTCTTTGAAAGGAGTAACAGAACTGACAAATGTCTTATGAGACAAATTGAGTGAGAGAGAGATAGAGAGTGTGTGTGTGAGACAGACAGAGATACAGAGAAACAGTGTAGTAGGGATTAAAGGTAAACCTTACTATAGAAGGAGACATTAAAAGCAGATCATTGAAATTGTTTAGCAATTTCATGCCAGATCATCTGTAACATTTAATGAGAAGAACAATTTCCTAGAAAACAAAATCTTACCAAAACCCATTCAAGAATAAGCAAGAAATTTGTATAATTCTATGACTGTTAAATAAATTGAGTCAGTAGATGAAAACATTCCCACAAGGAGGACTTATGACCCAGATGGTTGTACTGGCAAGTGCTAACAGGCAAAGCTAGGGGAAAACTAGTTCAAATATTAAATACCATACTAGCTTGTGCTCCTGCTTGCCAAGGATTATGCCTTATACATTATTATCTACTGATACAGTCAAGAAAGCAGAAAGTTTGAAGGTAAAAACACAAGGTGTAGAAGGGTGAGTATATGATGCCCCATTTCCATAAAAAAGGAAGGACTAGGACATAGGGCGACCTTCTCCAAAAGGACTTATGCCAGCATGCTGAGCCTCTCAGGCCGGCTGCTATCAGTATGCTTGTATGGAATTACACAAGGATGATTCAAAGCCTGCAAGGAACTAATGATAGCAGCCAATGGGCCCAGGAAATACGGATCAGAACTACTGAGCCCACACACCCCAGAGTCCATGCTCTGCAACAAGAGAAGCCACCGCAATGAGAAGCCTGAGGACCACAGTGAGAATGTATCCCCCTGTAGCCACAATAAGAGAAAAGCCTACGATGCAGCAAAGAAACAGTACAGCCAACAAATAAAAGTTTTTTTTTTTTTAAAAGGTAACTTTAACTAAAAAAAACAAAAACAAAAAATGAGATTTTAAAGAACAGGAAGGAAAATATCATTAGGAATTTTTTTTTTTTTTTTACCTTATACCACTTTACTGAATCCAAATAAAAAGTGTTTGGGAAGTTGAGATGACATATAAGGATGTCATCTCTTCCAACCTGCAGGATCTGCTTGTACTCGTGAGGCATGTTTAGTTGACTGTTTCCGGAAGCACCACACCAATGTTTTTCAAACACAGTAAGGTTGACTTGCACTCTGACACAGATGTCCGTATCACTATAAGAAAACAACAGATTGTAACTTCAGGAACTCAAACAGTCACAGAACCAAATGATTCCGTCCATCTCCAAAAATTTCCCAATCCTCTTCCAGGCTCTGTGCCCAACCCTTTACTTCAATAAGACAACATCCATCTCACAAGTCATTCATTACAAAAGGAAAAAAAAGTATTTGGATTGTGGAAACATGGGAGGACATCTTATCCAAATAATCAAAACGAACATCCCCAAGAACAAGCATGTGAACAAGAGGTACTGTCTGAAAAGAACACAAACCACTTCCATAGCGTTCCAGCCAAGGAGGCTCAGCCTGAACCGACTGAGGAAGAAATATCTGGCAAACCCAAATTAAGAGATACAATACAAAATAATTGCCTATACACCTTAAGAATGTCAGTGTCACACACGCACACACACACACACACACACACACACACAACAGGCTGAAGATCTGTTCTCAATGGAAAGAGACTAAAAATAAACCAGTCCATTCTATTCATCTGAGTCTCTATTGCTGCTAAGTTGCTGCTAAGTCGCTTCAGTCGAGTCCAACTCTGTGCGACCCCATAGACAGCAGCCCACCAGGCTTCCCCATCCCTGGGATTCTCCAGGCAAGAACACTGGAATGGGTTGCCATTTCCTTCTCCAATGCATGAAAGTGAAAAGTGAAAGCGAAGTCGTTCAGTCGTGTCTGACTCTTTGCGACCCCATGGACTGCAGCCTACCAGGTTCCTCCGTCCATAGGATTTTCCAGGCAAGAGTACTGGAGTGGGGTGCCATTGCCTTCTCTATGAGTCTCTATTCCTGCCCCACAAACAGTCTCCTGCCCCACGAATAGTTTGATCTGTACCATTTTTCTAGATTCCATATGCAGGCATTAATATACAATATTCATTTTTCTTTTCTGACTTCACTTCTGGACATAGGGGAGAAGGAGAGGGTGGGATGAATTGAAAGAGTAACAGTGACATATTCACACTACCATGTGTAAAATAGCTAACATGGAGCAGCTCTATAACACCAGGAGCTCAGCTCGGGGCTCTGTGATGATCAAGAGGGGTGGGATGTGGGCTTGTGGGAACGAGGCTCAGCAGGGAGGGGACACATGCATACTTATTGCTGATTCACACTGTTGACAGCAGAAACCAACACAATGTGTGTGCGTGCTCAGTTGCTTCAGTCATATCTGACTCCTTGCAACCCCGTGGACTGTAGCCTGCCAAGCTCCTCTGTCCATGGGATTCTACAGGCAAAAATACTGGAGTGGGTTGCCATGCTCTCCTCTTGGGGATTTTCCCCACCCGGGGATTGAACCCGTGTCTGCCTGTGTCGTCTCCTGCATTGTGGGTGGATTCTTTACCCACTGAGCCAGCAGGGAAGACCACCAACACAACACTGTAAACCAGTTATCCTCCAATTTAAAAAAAAAAAAAGAGAGCTAAATGCAATGCAATGATCCTGAATTGGATCCTCTACAGGAAAAGGAAGAAAAACATTTATAAAAGTCATCCTTAGAAGATAGATAAAACTAGAATATGAAACAGGGAGTAGATAAAAGTATTGTGTTGGTTAAATTTCCTGAATGGGATAACTACTTGGTGATGATGTAAGAGAATATTCTTGTTGAGAGAAAATAGATATTGAAATGAGAGAAATACATCAGGGTCCCTGATGTCTCTGAAGGTAAAGAATCTGCCTGCAATGCAGGAGACCAGGATTTGATCCCCAGGTCAGGAAGATCCCCTAGAAAAGGGAATGGGTGAACCCACTCCAGTATTCTTGCCAGAGGAACCTGACAGGTTACAGTCCATGGGGTCACAAAGAGTCAGACACGACTGAGCAAGCAAAACTTTCATTTTTCATATGTATATGTATACCTGAATCACTTTGCTCTGCACCTGAAACCAACACAACACTGTGAATCACTTATCCTCCAACAAAAATAAAGAAAATTAAAGCTCCAGTTAGAGCAGAAAATGAATAAATCCAGACTGGACAGCCAGACAGATTCATGTGACATAAGATCTCCAACTCCAGTTAATTAATAACCTAAGGAAATGGGAAATCAGACCCTATAAGACAGGGGGAGCTGGTCTGCAGAGAGTGAAATCGTGGGGCTGGGGCCACGGGCACTTGCAGGTGGGCCACTGAGCGTCAGCGTACCCTGAGTCAGTCACACAGAAATGAGGAGTCTGGCAGGGACTAGAGAGGCATGCAGTCATCCGGAAACACAGACAGGGGCCTAGAGACCCTAGGGGCCATGAGAGAGGAAGGATGCAGCTGCATTTCTGGGGTACTTCACATGGGACCTGGGGTAATTTTCACTTCAATCCTATCTGACTGGCCTGATTTCCACTTTAGAGATAAGAAATCCAAGGCTCATGGAGGTCAAATAATTCATGCAGGTCATACCCGTTGGCAAAGGAGGATAACAAAATGGGACCCTCAGCCAAAATTAGGTCCACAGATGTGTTTTAATTAGGACACACACACAAAGCTTATTGGAAAGTTAACCGCATACACACTCATTCTAATTTCCGGGTTACCTTGACAATTTGGAAGATGTCCTTGAACTGAATGAGTGTGTGTGTTAGTCGCTCAGTTGTGTCTGACTCTTTGCAACCCTAAGGACTATAGCCTGCCAGGCTCCTCTGTCATGGGATTCTCCAGGCAAGAATACTGGAGTGGGTTGCCATTCCCTTCTGCAAGGGATCTTCCCAATGCAGGGATCAGACCCAGGTCTCCTGCATTGCAAGTGGATTCTTTACTGCCTGTGCCACCACTGAACTGAATAGATTACTGATTTTGGTGAGGCATATGTTTTTCTGTTCACCGCAGTCCCCGCCAGACTCAATTACCTCCCACCAGACCTGTGTCACTCACTCACATTACTTTCTAGCACAAGCCTTACCTTGAGGTCTGGAACACACCTGATGCTTGGACACTGTTAAATTCCTACAACAGACTCCTTACAAAAAAGGGCTTGAAGGAGGCATATACCTATCTGGATGAGCTGCTGGTCACAAAAACTTTTATTTCAAGAAAGAAGGCAGCAATCATATTGGGATAAATAGGCTTTGTAAGCTGGGCTGACCTTGGGCAGCATTTCAATGAGAAAAGATACATTTCCTGTTTCAACAGCTGATTTACAAATCTCTTCTGTTTGAATGCCTGTTCATTGAAACCATCTCCTAACAATCACAAAAACTATATTCTTCTCACTGAGTTTTCTACATTGATTAACAGTTTATCAAGAATTTTTCTAAAAGAATTATACCCATATGTATATACACATATATACACATGGGGTTCCCCGATGGCTCAGTGGTAAGGAATCTGTCTGCCAATGCAGGAGACTTGGGTTCAATCCCTGGGTCAGGAAGATCTCCTAGAGAAGGAGATGGCTACCCACTGCAGTATTCTTGCCTAGGAAATCTCATCGACAGAGGAGTCTTGTGGGCTACAGTTCACGGAGTTGCAAAAGAGTCATACAAAGCTAAGCAACTATACAACAACAACAGCATATATACACATACATATATGAGTAAGAGAGAGTTCTATTTTGACTGAGGAACTTACTTTGTAAGACACTGGTAGATCCCAGAGTCCTCCCCTTTCACGGGGAGAAACAAAATCCAATTTTGGTCCTGGTGAATTCTAGACTGTGTGTTTTTGGATATTGGGATTTTGCTAGGATATTTATACCACATTGCATCTACTTTCCCCGATGTTGGCAGAGAGTAGATGCAATTAAAAGCTGTAGGCTGGTCTACTGATGCCGTCTCTTGCAGAGTCAAGTCCTCACAAGTATCTAGGGAAGGAAAGGGAAAAAATAATCACCACTGAGATTGCTGGTGTTGGTTATTATTTGTTTGAAAAAACACCTTAATTTTCTTGCTGATTTGAAATTTTATTTAAAAGTTATCTCAGCATGAGAGTTTCCTAAAAACAGTCTACTGATGTGGAAGTATAACCCAAACTCCTTCCATCTGTCTCTAAGAGGGAATTTACTGAGTCCAATCCTCCCCCCATCCCCAAATCATCTTTCCCATTTGGAATGATTTTCTCGTTCCCTTCTATTCCCTTGAGGCTCAGCTGGTAAAGAATCTGCCTGCAATGCAGGAGATCTGGGTTCAACCCCTGGGTTGGGAGGATCCCCTGGAGAGGGGAAAGGCTACCCATCCCAGTATTCTGGCCTGGAGAAGTCCATGGACTGTATAGTTCATGGGGTCGCAAAGAGCAGGACACGACTGAGCAAATTTCACTTTCTTCACACTTTCTTCTATTCTAGGACCCTAATTCCTTCATCCTCCTCCTTCAGAGAAGACATTCCTATTCTGAGCCCCATTTGACCTGTTTACTTCAGCACTGCCTTCCAATTAATTCAATCTGTCCCAAATAAAACCTGTAAGTATTTTGTCCCACAAAGGATTGTTAAACAGTTCCCTCACATTAAAGTTCGTTTCTAACACATTGCTTAGTTTTTCTTAAAAGTAATTTGTTCCATTGCTAGTTTCTTTGCTTTTTACCTTGGTCTAAAACGTCCCTTTGACATATAAAACAGAGGCATCATAATCCCTTTGTGCGTTTTAACTCGAGTCTTGACTTGCAACTTTGCCCAACTCCTCCCCACTTCAAGTCACTTCAAAGCTCAAAGGTGACATTCCGCGCAGGGCATCAGACCCTTGGAGCTGAAACCTGCAGTTTCCCCGTCCCGCGGGATTCTGCCCGGACCACTGGGGCAAGAGTCACCACACGCGATGCTCCAGGGCTCGCGCTGGGGCTCGCACAGAGCGGCGGGGAGGTCGAGAGGGAGGACAGCCGCGGAGACTCGAACTAACCGAACGTACCTGCTCTGATAAAGCGCGGAAGAGCGATGGACACGACGCAGAGGAGCAAGGACAGCATTCCCCTGTCAGCTGCGAGAAAGAAAGAGGATGGCGTGGGAAGGGGCGCAGCGGGCACGGCGCGCGCTTCTCTGACACAGAGCCTGGGTAGTGAGACCTCTGAATCTCAGAGATCCCAGCCGGGCCACCCACCTTCCCTTCTTCACCCGGAGCCCACCAACTTTGGCCCCACGTGTACCTGGACGTGTCCCCCAAGACTGCTCCCTCCCCTGCCCCGGTCTCGCTCTGAGCGCCCACCTCCGGAATCCGGCATCAGTGGGAGCCTCCACGCCCCGGGAGGCGCCTTGGGGGCCTCGGAGCGGGTCTTTTCTTCCAGGCTGCCCAGTCCTCCCTTGGGGGCTCAGCGACATCCCCTCTGTCACCCAGCGCTCGGCCCCTGATCCCCATGGTGGCGCCCGGGTCCCCACCCGCGTGTAGCGCGAAGACTCCCCTGCGGGCGCTTGACCTCGGGATCCTTCTGGGCCCGGCAGTCTACACGGAAACTCCAAACACCCACGCACTCCGGAGAAGCCAGCTTAGGCCTGCTTGGCAAAGGCCGGCAGGAACAAAGGTAGGTAGAGGCACGGGCAGTGGACCGGTGCTCCACACCTTTGTCCAGAGACGGAGTTGTCTCCCCCAGGGTCGCCCAGCCGGACAGGGGCCGCCCGGGAGTGCAGATCGCCGCCCCCCCGCCCCCAGTCGAGCGCATTTTCGCCACCGCCTTCCCTGAGCACCTTTCCAGTGCCTGGCGCTCCGCCCGCGCGCTGCTCACCGCCGACCTCAGCTGGGTGTGTACCTGCTGGACTGGATGGGCGCGCAGGATCGCATAGAAAGTGCAGCCCGACAGCCCGGGATTGAGCCCCGTGGTGGCATTTCCATACCAGGCTCGTTCCTCACCACCGTGGGCGGGGCAGGTCTGCCTTCCCAGTGGGAACTTAAGGAGAAAACTGCCATCGCACTAGGAAGTGGCTTTGAAGGGTTTTGGCCAGATTGTCTGGCAGCTAAGAGGTCCTCCATACCCACTAGTGTTAGTCTCTCAGTCCGTGTCTGACTCTCTGTGACCCCATGGACTGTAGCCCACCAGGTTCCTCTGTCCATGGGATTCTCCAGGCAAGAACACTGAAGTGGGTAGCCATTCTCTTCTCCAGGGGATCTTCCTGACCCAGGGACCAAACCCAGGTCTCTAGCATTACAGGTGGATTCTTCACAGTCTGAGACATCGGGGAGGAATCCCCATCCCCAGTAATGTCTGCTGAAATCTATTCTAAATTATCCCAGCAAATGAACTATTCCTTCCTTTCTGAGCTCCATTTGAGCAATTGTTACATGCATTGGCCTGTATAGGATGCTCCCAAAGTGGAAGCCAACTCAGGTGGCTTTTAAGGAGTATCATTTATTAATATCTGCCTGAGTCATGTTGGTTAACTTCTGTAAAGCAGACATCCCACTGTTGCCTAGTTCAAGCTGATCTGATAGGTGCAGGACAGGTGAATGAATCTGAGACACAAGGTGTTGAGAAAAGGAATATGACTTTATTTGGAAAGCTGACTGGCTGAGAAAATGGCAGACTAATGTCTTGAAATAATCATCTTGTTCGGGGTCTGGATGCCAGGTTCTTTTATGACTCAGAAATGGGCAGGGGAGGTCAGGAAAAAAAGTAAAAAGAACATTGATCTTGCATATACCTCCTAGAATGACCTGCCTCAGGCGGGGTGGGGGGAGGTGTGTGTTTATTTCTTCCTTCCTGCCATCTATAGGTGGACAGAATCCTGAACAAAGGCACTTTAACAGTTAGGGAGATGGGCAGGGGAAGAGCCAACTCATTGGAAAAGATCTTGATGCTAGGAAAGGTTGAGGGCAGGAGGAAAACTGGGCAACAGAGGACAAAATGGTTGGATGGCATCATCGACTCAATGGACATGAGTTTGAGCAAACTCTTTGAGGCAGTGAAGGATGGGGAAGCCTGGTGTGCTGCAGTCCATGGGATCACAGTCGGAAGCGACTTATCCACGGAACAACAAAGAGAGGTAGAAATCTCTGAGGCAGTCCATTATGTGTTATTATAATAATAAAAGCAATGGAAAACAAGTCAAAGAAACAGTTCCAAGGTGGACTCAGAATTGGCTTTTCCCTGCAACACCTCCGGAATTCTAGATACCCCAAGCAAGTAGACTGCTCCAGTCTGAAACTTCTAACTCTGATGATATGAGGATGAGATGGTTAGATAGCATCATCGACTCAATGGACATGAGTTTGAGCAAACTCCAAGAGATAGTGAAGGAGAGAAGTGCCTGGTGTGCTGCAGTCCATGGAGTTGGAAAGAGTCAGATACAACTTAGCGACTGCACAACAACAAATAATGATATCCACTGGGACTTGTTGCCCTGATCATCAGGAGATACTCAGACACATCCCTGAGGGCTCTGAGACTTAGAAAAAGTATATAAAATGTAATCTCCTTTCAGAACTGGCCAAACCAGTTCTGGTGGTCCTTTTGGCATTCCAGTGAGACAGATGCCAAAGTAGCAAGGGGAGATGCCAGCAAAGCTTTCTGTGATAAACTGGGAGCCAGCAGTTTACAAATGTCTACATTCTTTAAAAACGATTGAGGATTCCAACGTGCTTTTGTTTATGTCCGTTACGTCTGTCGATATTTACTATGTTAGAAATTAAGATGGCGGGTGTTTTAAATATTTATTTTCTTGTCTATTTTATTGCTAAAGATTTCACGTGGACCATTTTTTAAAAGCCTATTGAACCTGTCATAATATTGTTTCTGTTTTATTTTTTGTTATTTTGACTGCAAGGCACCTGGGATACCAGACCCTACCCCACCCCACCCCTGCCGCAACCTAACTTGGGCCTAACTCGTGCCTCCCTGACTTGGAAGGAGAAGTGTCCCTTCTTATTTTAAATAATAACAATAAACTCTCCATGTAGTAATGCATATTTTCCATATTTTATGGAAAATAACTTTACTTTCCAAAACAAACAGACTTATTGAGAACAGTGGTATTCTACATAACACTACATACCCATACTTAGAGTTTAGAAATATCTAACTTAAGAGAGTTGAATTCTCATAGCCAGTCTCTTATGATGTGACATGTCATATAGCCTCTGAGAAAGTCCACTGTCCACAAGTCAGAGAACAAGTATAAAAAGACAAAGAAAGCCTTAATATTACAATGCAAATGACTTTGACTTCTGAGATCTTTTTAAAGGCTCTTGGGGATGCCCTAGGGCTCTCTACTCTGAGATCCCCTAGGTAAGCCAGAAGTGGAGATTTTTATTTCTTTTCCCCTGGCATCAGCATTGAGTTTCCTCTGTATTAAGAGCAAAGAGTCGGACACAACTTAGTGACTAAATAACAACAACACGTTATCATTTTAAGCAGCTGACATCAAAATTATATTCCCTCCTCTCCCCTCACTCTCCCAAACCTCAGAATTTGAAAAAGATTCATTCTTGATTAAATAAATTTGTTCTTTCATTTGTACAGATCAAGACATATAATTAAGAACATTTATTTTGAGATTCCATCTCAGATACTGACAAAAACTTTCTGTAGTAGGGAAAACCTTTGAATTCTGTTACAAGTTAATCACTAAAGGGATGTTGCCTGTAAGCTTTAATTCGACATAATGGTCCATCGCTGAGAACCCTGGCTCCCAGATAATTAAGCCAAAAAGACTGCTGATTAGCTCCCAGGAGAGAGACAGATGAGGTTCACCTGTGACTGGCTGCAGAGAGGAAGAAATTCACAGGTCACCTCCAGAGGCTGAGGTGAACCAGGAAGTGTTTGACTTATTTCCGCCCTCCCCACCCCCCTCCCTGCCCCGCCCCCGCTTAGTATAAAAGAAACCAGAATTCTAACTCAGGGAAGATGGCTCCCTGAGGAGTGGCAGTCTGTCATATTTTTGGTCTGCTGGCTTTCTCAATAAAGTCCTTATTCCTTGACCCAGCAACTCACCTCTGGACTTCCTGGTCTATTATGTGGCGAGGAGTATAAAATTAGACTTGGTAACAAGTTTTGATGAAACCTGCCAGGAGCCTTGTGGCCCATGCCAGCCGGCCCTGGTTGGGGAGTATTCGGGAAAGGCACTGGCGGTTGCCAGGACCACTTGGCCAAGGAGCTTCCCTTCAGAGTTCTGGCTGCCGCAGCACTTGGCAACTAAAACAAGGAATCAACATTTAGGAGCTGAGGTGCTGCCCCATAGATAAGATAGTCCCTCTGGTGTGTACAGCCAGAAACTTTATTTCCTCTTGTTCGGGGCTTTTTTGTGTTTTCTTCTGTGGAATAAGCCAGTTTGTTTTGTGTTTGTTTTGTGAGTGGGGCACCCTGTTAGAGGAAAGAATTGCTAGGTTTTTTTTTTTTAACCCAATTTTTATGTCTATCCAGCCCCAATTCCTGATGTGCTTAGGACTACGCCTCATTTTTAATCATTATTTATTTGGCTGTACTGGGTCTTTGTTGCATCAAGGGCTTTCTCTAGCGGTGAGCAGGGGCTACCCTCTAGTCCTGGTGTGCAGGCTTCTCCTTGCATCTTCTCCTGTTGCGGAGCACGGGCACTAGGGTACACAGGCTTCAGTAATTATGAAGAAGGAAAGGAGAAGTTTGCCCTGACTGGAGTGACTCCATCTTACGCTCTCGGTGAACTTGGACTATATATCTGGGAGGCCACGGAGATAAAACAGCAACAACCAGTAAGCCTCCTGGGCACCTGGAAACCAGACCAGGCTGACCCCATCCTGAGACCTCCCAGAGCCAAAAGGAATGCAATGAGCACTATGTAATCAATTACTATCTGTAATCTTAATAATACCCATTGATATAAGTTAGACTGCATGGCCAAGAATGTAAATTTATGTCTGTTACCTGATCGTATCTTGTACTAACATTGACCAGACTGGGCTTTAGAGAATTTGGGGGTTGTGGGCTTGGGCATGTATGCTTTAGGTATGAAAGGTTATCACAAAAATCAGTTGGGGTTCCTGACTAAATAGAAAACTCTGCCTTGG